TTCCTGATCCCACCTGGGCCCAGAGGGGTGACAACCCCCCCCCCCCCCCCCCCCACACACACACTGCCCTTCTCCTCAGCACTTTCTTGCCCGTGGTATCTGTTTCAAGTCACAACCACCCTTCACCTGCAAATACTGGCCCGGTGCCAGCTCCCAGAGGGGCCACTTTTATTCCTTATTCCTGACCCCCAAACACTGTTCTCCATCCCACCCACTGATGCCACGGTGTCCTGTTCCTGCATAAGTACCCAGCACATGAATTGAGACAGTGATTTTACCCTTGCCACCGAGCCAGGCTTCCCTGGAATCTATATTCACCCCACTGATGGTCTTCCTTTCACTTCCATATATTAATAGACTCCAAGGGCCAGCTCTGGCACAGAACTTGGCATGTCAGTCTGAGAGGGCACCATTGGGGGAGTGAGAAATAACGGCACATTTAGACCCCAGAGGAGCTAAGTGACTCACCTTCTCCACGAGGCTGCAGCTTTCTGGGTGTCAGTCACAGTTGGCCATTGCCTGGCTCAGCTGACCTCTGACCTCTCTGACGGCTGCACAACATTGTCAGGATTGAAAACAGATGGGGGCTTCATCTGGGCTTCGGGATGGCCTTTTCCTTCTCACTCACTGGAGCTACAATATGCTCCTCTCACTGGCAAAGGATTAGACTCGGGGGAAGAGCAGAGATCACATTGTGGGTTGGAATGGGTTCAAGGCTGCGTGGAAAGTGGGGATAGGAGCCAAGATATGGTGATGGGGACTCTCTGGGAGCAAGAGGAGCACTGGCTGGGCTTGGGAAGGGTGCTATGACTGGGAATTGAGCTCCACAGTAGTAACACCTTCATGTCCCTTCTTCCCACAGAGCACTCAGCTGCAGCCAAGACAGGTGGCTGCTTCCCTGCGGGAGCCCAGGTGCGCCTGGAGAGCGGGGCACGTGTGGCTTTGTCAGCTGTGAGGCCAGGAGACCGGGTGCTGGCCATGGGGGAGGATGGGAACCCCACCTTCAGCGATGTGCTCATTTTCCTGGATCGTGAGCCAGATAAGCTGAGGGCCTTCCAGGTCATCGAGACCCATGACCCCCCGAGACGCCTGGCACTCACACCTGCCCATCTGCTCTTCACTGCCAACAATCACACAGAACCAGCGGCCCACTTCCAGGCCACGTTCGCCAGTCAAGTGCAGCCTGGCCAGTATGTGCTGGTGGCTGGGGTGCCAGGCCTGCAGCCTGCCCGAGTGGCAGCTGTCTCCACACATATTGCCCTTGGGGCCTATGCCCCACTAACGAGGCACGGGACGCTGGTGGTAGAGGATGTGGTGGCCTCCTGCTTCGCGGCCGTGGCTGACCACCGCCTGGCTCACTTGGCCTTCTGGCCATTTCGACTGTTTCACAGCTTGACGTGGGGCAGCTGGACCCCGGGGGAGGGTGTGCACTGGTACCCCCAGCTGCTCTACCGCCTGGGACAGCTCTTGTTGGAAGAGAGCAGCTTTCACTCACTGGGCATGGCCGGGCCAGGGACCTGAAAAGATCCCTCCACTGTCCTCCTGGAACTGCCCAACTGGATCCAAAGGCCTCCCTACCTGGAGGGCACTGGCCCTGTAAGAGACCTGAGTGGAGGTAATGGATCCCACCATTGCCTCCCCTACAGAGATATACCATTGAGACTCTGCTGGGCAATGCCAGAGTCCTCCACCACCATCTTGGTGTAGTGACAGAGCTGCAAGCTGAGCTGGCAAGAGGATGGTCTGTCCTTCTAACTATAGACCTCTAGACTTGCACAGTGGGTCCCAACCCAGCCAGCTCTCACTACGATTGTTCATATCTGCCTCCCTCAATGCGGAGAGCCCATTCCATCTGTCTTAGGCCCCCCTTTGGTGGGCTTGCACCTCAGTTGATGCTGCTAGATTCCCTGGGAGCCAGCAGGGAGCTGGCTAGACTCAATGCTGCCTGGAACTGAGAAGGCTGCAGGGTTGGGCAGCCATCCTGGCCATCCTGAGACATGTTCTTCCTCCCTGGCCACACTCCTTGGGACACATCCAGAGACTATTGCTGTCAGTGGGCAGAGTTCTGTGTTCCAGCCAATGTGACCGTAGTGCCCGGGTCAGGGGAGTGGGCTGGATGTCCTTCCCACCCCTGCCCAGGCTAAGCTCCCTCTTCTGCTGAACCATGACTCCCCCTCCTCTGGTCAGTCTCCCCCACCTTATTTATTGGCGCCAAGGGGGAAGCCATGGGAGAATTTGAGGGATGTTTTGGTCTTTTCTTCCTTTTGTAATAAAAATTATTTAAGTTGTTAGAGCCATAGAGTCCAGAATGCTGACTGGGTTCAATACTTGCATAGTCTGGAGTCAGGGTGGTCCTGTCCAGAGATATGCTCACCTTCCCCTAGGGACAAAACATCCAGTGTTCCACCCCCTCTGCAGGTCCATTCTCATCAAAGCTCTGCAAAGTCTCAAAAGAAAGCTGTGTTCATGCCAGGACATGCCTTAGCATGCTGACTCCAAGGTTGGACCAGAGAGAGAGAGGTGAGGTAACTAGTTCATGGTCACTTTGCTCACCTAGACCACCACCTCTAGTCACAGTGCTCAAGTCTTTCTTGAGGCCTGGGTTTCTGACTCTTCACTGTGATCATGGACCATGGCATGAAATTATTCTGGAGACATCACAACTGCCTTCAGACTTCTTGGATAAATCATGAGTCCCTAACCTGGAAGTTTCCAAAACTTTAGAATCACCTGGGCAGCTTGTTAAAACTTATTCTTGGCCCTCTTTCCAAGATTTTGCTTTATTAGATCCAGAGTGATGGCCCAGGAGCTTACTTTTACAAACACTCCAAACATGGCAGATGGCCCATGGCCCAGTTTATTGCCAAAATAGGATGATACTTTTGCCAGCCCTGCCCAAAAGACCAATCTTGGGGTCAAGACAGGGTCCTATGCTCACTACAGGTTAGCCGATTCCCAGGCTCAGAGGTACAATTGTTAAATTTTCAGGAACTTCATGAGCCAATTGATATAGGCCATGGTGGGACTATTTATACCATGGAAATTGGTGTATGCTACAAATTAGGGTTCCTCACACTGTGGTGAGCTGGTTGTTGGAGCATACCACTGCCAAGGTTCTCACCTCCTACAGAGATGACTGTGCTGGGGTGACTGCTCAGATTCTTATCTTACCAATCCCCATCTCCATAGAGGAAAACTCCAGAGAAAACTTCATTTCCCCGGGAACTGTGTCATCTGGGGAATAGGCCCCCACAAGGCTATGATGAATAAAAGCTGTTATCATTTAATGAAGATTCCCCATTGCCAGGCTTTGTAAAGTGCTTCACATGAAGCGCCCACTTAATTTTCATAACAGCCCACTGTGGTATATACTATAATATTACCATTTTCCGAACGAGAACACAGAAGCACAGGGAGGTTAGTAACTTGCTCAAGATGATACAACAAGTGATAAGTAGGATTTGAATCTATGTGAGTTGGAGTGAAAGTGGAGACCTGCAACTTTCCTGGGAATCCTGGCCTCAGGTGTGAGGAAACTATGTGAGCAGCGAGACCAGGAGAAACAACCTAAAAAGTCACCCTCCACCTCTGTGGTGTGATGGCCCCAATCCCTCCCTCCAGAACCCAACTTGCCCAATCTTTGTACGATGCCAAGGCCCAGTGGAAGGTCAATCATAGAGCCTAGGCCCAGGCAGCTACTGATCCAAAGCATGGCTCATGCTCAGCCTTTAGCCAAGGCTGCTGCATCCACAGTTGTGACCTTCATTCACAGTTGTAGCCTTTAGTCATTGTTTACTGGACACCATGTGTCAGGCGCTGTGCCAGAGTGAGGGAAAGAGGCAGTCCTTGTTCTCAATAAACTGGATGGCAGGGAGCAGCACAGGGCGAGGGATGTCCATGCCATGTGTTGAGTGCTGTGCCTGACATCCTTACAGGGGCTATTGGAGTGCCACAGAGAGGCTGGAGCTAGGAAAAGGTCCTGGAGATGAGGACTATTCATGGAGGGCAAGGAGGGGTTTGCATGGCAGGCAAGTAAAGAAGGGATCTAGGCTGAGGACACAGCAAGTGCAAAGGCTTTCAGGCTTGAGTGAGGCTGGGGGGTTGAAGGAACCACCACCAGGTCAGCATCGCAAAGCTGTTCAGTGCAAGTGGGTTTGGCAAAGCTGAGGTAGATAGGTGGGTGGCAGTTAGGTTACACAGAGTCTTGTGTTCCATGCATTTGGACTTTATCCTGAGGGATTGGTGAACACCTGTAGGGGTTGAAGCTGGGAGAACTTGCAACTAGATTGTTTCAGAAAGCTCACCCAGCTCAGTGTGGAGGACAGACCAGAGAAGGCAGCTATGGAAGCAGGAATCTATATACTGGGTAAAAAAGTTCACTAACTTCTGGACTGAAGAGGTGGTCATGGGGTCAGAAAAAGGCAACGGATTGTAGACATTTTGGCAGGAAAATGGCCAGGACTTGAAGCCCATTTGGATGAGCAGTAAGAGTGAGGAAAGGGCCCAAGTTAATTTCATGTTTTTAAGCCTGAGATTCCACCTTGGCTGTGAGGCCTCTGGAGCAGCCTGGGCAGACTACCTCCACATAGAGGCCGCTGTACCCTGTGCAGAGACATCTCCTCAGATCCCCATCCCCAAGTTGTCCTTGCATGCTCCTCTGTTGTGTTTGGAAAGACTCAATCACCTTGGCCATGGCTCTTCTGAGGCCATGTGGGCCTGCACTCCCCCCTTTCCCCAACACAGCCTGAAGGTGCTGCCTCCCGCACATGGCATCTGACAGTAAGTGGTGCTGTTCTGGGAAAGGATGAGCCCAATGCACCAATCCTTTAGGCAACCAGGCCTGCTGCTAACACAGCAGCTCAGGTGTGGGAACTAGAAATAGGCACCTCTCCATACCCATGTTCCGTGCACAAGGGTCCCTGGGTGCCAGGCCAAATGAGTTGCCTTTTCTAGTTAGATCTCCTCAGGGGACATTTTTAAATGAAGAGGTGCCTATTTCATGGTGGCACCTAACCCTGCTCTGCCCTCTGGGTGGGATGCACCTCCTGGGGCTTGGCCCCACATCCCATACCCCAGCTTGGTTCTCAAAGTCTCTTTGTTCTACTGGGATGAGCTGTGGCCAGCCCAGACCTGATAAGGCTGAGTTAGGCCAATAGTAGCCCCAAACCACACCCAGGCTGCCTTACATCCATAATGAACTCCCCTCAGATTGGCTTAAATGCAGGATGCTTCCTGCTCAGGTTTGGGTCTGAAAGACTTAACCTCTGGGATGACCCTCCCTTTGTTCATTTAAGACCTCTCATCTGGATGGGGAAGCAGGCTAAGGGGATTATCCCCCTTTTAGAGATAAATGAACTAAGTCTCCTAGAGGAAAAATGACTCACCCATAGTTATTTACTCCACAATCAGGAGCATCAATTGTGCTAGGTTTGCTATTTACAGTATCTTTTTAAATCCTAGCAGTCTGCAAAGTGAGAGAGTTCCTAATTCCTACTTTGCAGAAAGGTGAAGTCCAGAAGCCCAGAGAGGTGAAGTCACTTTCCCATGGTGGCACAGTAGTTGAAACCAGAACTCAAGTCCTCTGCAGCAGTAACTGAAGGAGGTAGGAACTGACGAGTCATCATCCCAGAAAGATGGGAGGAAGTCACCCCCAGCATCAGCCTAAAAGATCTGATGAGGCTGGGGGTGGCCAAGAACCTGTGAGGGAAAGTGGTCTTGGAGGATTAAGGTTCTAGACACTATGAGAAAATCTAATTTTGGTGGGAGTGACACTTATTAAAATAGGTTCTCAATTATTTGACTCTCCTCTCCCCTTGAATCTGGGATGAGGCTAGAAAAGGCCATGTAGCTTCTTCCTGGTTCTACCCTGAGATTGTCAAGCTGAAGCAACTATAGATTGGTGTTCCCATTCACAGCCTAGTGAGTGCCCAGCTGATGGCCGGCACAAATTTAGAGCCATGAAGGTCACCATCTTGGATGACCAGCCTCATGGAGCCTTTAGATGGCTGCAGCCTGGCCAACTTCTGAATGCAACTGCATGAGAGACTCCCATTGAGAGCTGCAGGGCTACACCCTTTCTGAATTCCTGACCCACAAATGCATAAGCAAAATAAAACGATTATTTAGAACCTTGAAGTTTGGAATAATTAAAAAAATATATATTTTATTGATTTTTTACAGAGAGGAAGAGAGAGGGATAGAGAGTTAGAAACATTGATGAGAGAGAATCATCAATCAGCTGCCTCTTGCACAACCCTTACTGGGGATGTGCCCGCAACCAAAATACATGCCCTTGACCGGAATTGAACCTGGACCTTCCAGTCCACAGGCTGACACTCTATCCACTGAGCCAAACAAGTTTCGGCTGGAATAATTTCTTATACAGCAATAATAAACAGAACAAAGAGCAAAGAAGGAATGGGAACTGATGAAGGCATCTTCTAATGCTTTCCAGGGCCTTTAAAACACTTTTACACAAAAGCTTTTTAAATGGAACCTGCATGAGGTTGGAGGAGGTATAATGCCTCTTCATCTTCTAAAGGGGCAGCATGAGAAGGCACACTGACTAAGCTTGAGCCAGATAGAAATAGAGACAAAGGGAAGAGTTGATAAACACATCTCTTCACATTCAACTTATTGAAAAAATGTTATTCATGTATCTGTTCTGGTGGCAGGATCTCTCATGACAGCAAACTTTTGAAGGAATAAAGAACTTTCTGGAAGAAAAGAAGCTCATGTATTTGGGCCAGTGGCCAGCAAGAAGTTATACATGGCCAAGTACGAGGAAATGCTATTCAAGGTTTTAAAAAACCCAGTGTAGAAGTTAAAGAAAGTGCTCAGAGATCAAGGACAGACTGGAAAATAGTTTGACATTCCTGTGGACAGTTGTTGGCTACATTTTTCCAGAGTGCCCCTGCAAGCAGAAACTTGCAGGGCCTGGACAAAAATGTCCATGAAAACAAACTAGAAGCATCCTGCTGCCTTACTAAACTTCAAGTGTATTTGCATCTGGCTCTGCACACACCTCCAAATGCCCAACTTAAGTAAATTCAAAGGAAAGTGATCAGACATATAATGGGACATGGGTGTGGCTCTGGGAGTGATTGGGAGTGTAGGGGTGGAATGGTTAGTTAAAGGACAGATTTCTTGGCTTTGAATTCATAATCCTGAAAAATCACAAAATGGAAATGATCAAAATCTAATAAAGATGGGGAAATAGCACATTTACAGTAGAGAATTCTGGCAGACACCACTTTAGCCAAGTGATCAAAGTTAACATAACCAATAAAACATATTGACATCATGTACCCTCTGATACAATGCACTGAGAAGGGCATATCACCTCTCTGATATGTTTCTCCATAATGGACACCTCACTGAATTATAAGAAATAAACCCAAATTGAGGAAAATTTTACAAATAATGGACAGTATTGGTCAAAAAAGTCAAGGTCATGAAAGACTACGAAAACTCAGAAAAGGCATAGGTGGGATCCCAGATTAGATGTTGAAATAGGAAAAGAACATTAGTGTACAAACTTGTGAAATCTAATACATTTTATACTTTCATTAACAGTATTTATTGTAGTAAGGTTAACTTCTTAGTTTTGAGAATTTATCTATGATCATGTAAGATGTTAACCTCAGGGAAAGTTGGGTGAAGGGTTTATAAGACTCCCTATACTATTTTTGTAAGTCTTATTTATATTTAAAATTAACTCACAATTTTTAAAACATCTAAAAGATAGAATCTCATAGACTAGTCAAAGATGGTCTCTTTTAGCATACATGAAGTTCAAGCAAACTTCCATATTCAAAGGAAGCCAGTGGTCATGACTCCTTTACTTGAGAGAAGACCCTGGTCAGAAATGGATTAGAAAAGGGTTTGAGGAATTAGATAGAATTGTAAAGTAACAGAATAATTCATTCAGAGCCTGTAATGAGCCAGGCCCTGTACTAAGTTCTTTGAATATTTGATTCCACTTAAATTTCACAACCTTTGAGCTGTTAAAGTTTACCCTGCTTATGGAAAGAACAAGATCATAGCTGAAAGCCGGTGCAGTTGGGATTCAAATCCAATCTGCTTGTTCGCAATCACTCCATTGCACTGTCTTCTCAGGGGTGTCCCTCATTTAGTTCGTACCTGAAGGTTTCTGCACTGTGGGTGGGGAAAGAAGACATAGAAGGCAGGAGGAAGTGGATGGCTTAGGATGGGCTGGTCATCAGGAGCTGTCCATGGTGCTGGTCAGAAAGACTTGGAACTAGAGGGCCAGCAGGAGACGGTGTAGGGGAAGGCGGCTGGGAGGTCTCACACAGAGAAGGAGCACTGCTCAGAGTAGAAGGAAAGAGCGGCTAGATGTGGTAACAGGTCCTTCACCAATGAGGAGGAATTAGAGGGAGAAAGAAGCCAGTGAGGTAGGATTTGCCACTAATAGTATTCAGGATAGCTATACTGATTATTGAAATCTGGAAATACTTTGGTACTAGCTGGTAAATAGTCACTGACTTAGTCCTCCACTGCTGTGGTGGCTGCTTTTTCAGTCCCTCCCTGCACTCCCAGATTCCTCCATGACCCAGCAACTAAAGGGCTAAGGCCTGGCACAATGTGGGCTCCCAGAACTCTGCTCTGGTTCCAAGGCCCCTTCTCAGAGGTCATGCCCATACCTTATCAATTGTTAAATATTTTACCTCTGTTTATCCCCATTTTACAGATGTGGAAAGTGAGGTTCTAGAATGTTGAACAATTTGCTTGAAATTGCTCAGCTACTAAATGTTAGAATCAGAACTTGAACTCAAGTCTTCTGGATCGAACCTCAGGTTCTTTTTCTTTCATCTCCCTATGATTGGCCTGCATGCCTATCTACTTTTTGTGGGGATGAAGAATAGTAAGAGAAGTTATCTAGGGGGCTTGTGTTGGCACAGGAGACTCAGAAAACCCTTTGGAAGTCCCAGGCAGAATAAAACACTTTTCTTTGAATTCTCTTGCCATATGGCAGCCTACCCCAAACTCCTGCTAGTTTTGTGCCATGGTAACTGTTTCAAGCTGGAGGTGCCATCGGATCTCAGATCTCTTAATGCTCTCCCCATCCCCTGCTGCTCCAGGGGAACATGACACTCTAATGCAGAGAGTGCTCCATGCCTGCTCCTTGATCCAGTCCTGAACCAATCCAATGGCCCTTTTGGCTGCAGTCTTCTCTCACTCTCCACCCCTTGGTCTGGGCTTAGAATATTTATTCCACTAACTTCACCTCTTATCTCCTTCCTGTAAATTAAATATGCCTTGGATGAAGACCTGATTTCTGAACCAGCACTCCAAATGGAGTCAGTTACAGGGAGAGAAAGGTGGGAGAGAGTTTTGTAAGTGTTAGAGCTGGGTGGCCTTGCCATCTGGATTGTAGATTACTCTGGCATCTCCTTTTGTCTTTCTCCACCCTGCAGCAGAAAGGCAGCCTCCTTCTTGGAGAAACAAGAGGAGGATGTGGAGAGGAGAAAAACTTCTCACCTCTCCAGGGTGCAGCAGAGAGGTTGGCAGGTGGTAAGAGAGGAGGGTGCACAGGCCAAGTGGTTTATTTATAGGGACCTTCCATTCAATCAGTGGCTGTGTGTGTGTGTGTGTGTGCACGTGTGCGTGCGCGTGTGTCTAATTTTGTTGTCTAGCATGTGTCAAGTACTTTACACATTCATGATTACTCAGTCCTTACACCAGCTTTTTGATAATTATCACCAGCCTTTTGATAATTAACAGATGAGAAAAGTGATGCTCAGAGAGGTCATGTGACTTATCAAAAGCCACAGCCAGTAAGAGGCAGAGTCAGGATTAATATTAGATCTGCCTGATTTCTCAAACCAGAGTCATCTCTATTCCATAGTCATGGGAATTGGGGGTAGTAAGTGATGGGTGGTGTGGATGTGTGGAAAAAACACTTAGAAAAGACACTTTTGTGTGTGTGCACTGAAGCCCAAATCACTGAGTGTGCTTTACCTTTATTACCCTTATGCCCAGCTTCCTACTGGAAGGATTTGAGACCATCTCCTACTCATCCTTCTTCCTCCCATTCTCCTACATCCTGGCCTTTGTCAATTTCCTGAATTTTTAGTCACCTTTGTTTATAACCTTGAACCAAATAACACCACCCCCATTGTCTTTTTTAGATCCATGAAGGATATAGACACTAGGATCCAGCACCCATTATCTCCTACTAGAGACCTGGTGCACAGATTCATGCACCGATGGGGTACCTCAGCCTGGCCTGCACCCTCTTGCAATTTGGGACCCCTCATGGGATGTTGGACTGCTGGTTTTGGTCTGATTTCCACAGACTAGGCTGAGGAACCCCACTGGTGCATGCACCGGGCCTCTAGTACGCATATAATACCTTTGGTTAATTTCTTCCCTCCCCCCTCCCTCCCCCTTCTTTCTGAGATTCATAAGTCTGTTCCATGTTTCCATGCCTGTGCACCGAGCGTCTGCCCCTTGATGGTCAGTGTGCATCATAGCTACTGGCCAAATGGTCAAACGATTGAATGGTCACTTAGACTTTTCTATATATATAAATAGGTTCTGGAGTTCTGAAAAGAGAGGCTTCTAAAGCAAACCTCAGTTAAAATCATGATTGCGGGGACGTCCTCTCCCATCCTCAGGCTCAACTCCTTGCCATGCTCTTTTCCATGCTGTTCACCTCCTGGGGCAAAGTCCAGGTTGGGTCTCTTTTTGCATCTAAGATATACCTTTGAAATGTCAGAATAATCTCTCCTTTCCCAGACCTCTGAAGGCACAATCCCCATACCAGAGCACGAGGCCACAGACCCCCTCATTGTTATCTTGTTCCCCCAATACCATCTCTATGTGCTGTAATTGTTAATTACTAACTATGTTGCACCCACCAATGCAAAAGAAGTAAGCATCTCTCTGTTTTACTTTTTATTCAGTCCTAGAGATTTCCTTACTTTGCTTTCTCCTGCTCCCTTAATCTACCATCTATGTATTTTATGTAACCCTCCTTATGTCTCCTCCTTTAATTCTAATGTATAAAATAAGCTGCTAAACTGCCATTCTGCAGTTTTTTCTCAGTTCATTGAGATTTTGCTTTCTGCCAGTTTGGCTCAGATAAATTCATAAAAACATTTGAATGTTTC